CGGAGGAAGATGGATGGATGTTGGTTTTCATACAGTTTATGCAAAGAACTTCAAACAAGAGAATGAAACCAAGGATACAGTTATTTTGATACTGATGTGAATATTTGTGAAAATGTTTCAGTTGGCCTCCAGCTACCCATGAAATATAAAGTTATTTTATTGTACTAAAAAAAAAAATAATAATAAAGTTGGGGTTTTTTAATTTCATCTTAAAACTTTTTTTTTTTTTACTTGCTTGTCATTTATAAAGCTAGTTTAGCTCTATCTTTTTCTAAGCATCAGTTAAGGTTTTTCTCCTCTACACCACATTTATTAATTCAGAGCCTCCCAACACTCCACACTCCTGCAACACTCCCTTGAAAGTGTCTCAGGGGAAACTGTTTTCTGATGGAAAAAAACACAGGTGGACTTACTGCATGCCAAACTCCTCCCAGTAGTTTTATTAAGTTAAAGTTCTGGTCTCATCTTCTACAGCATAATCTAAATCCGCACTGAGGCTGCATTATCTAGTAATAATCGAATTCTCTTCTCCATTGCTGGTGTGTTTAACACATCTAATGTTTTATTTTCTTTACAGGAACTGAATGTGTTGCGTCCCAAAGCAAGCTTCCGACTTTGGCTTACAGCAGAAGTCCACCCAAGATTTCCCCCAATATTACTGCAGTCGAGCCTTAAGATCACCTATGAGGTACAATCATACAGCACATTCTCATGTTTCTAAGATAACAAAATTGTAAGGATGAAAATTATCCAATATGCTGAATAATTTTCGCATATAATTTCAGGTTGTTTATATCTATGCTAATAATATTCTTTCACTCACTCTCTTGACTGAAACACTGTGTAGTATGCAGAATTCTGCCACATGTATGTGATCTATGCTTTAATACTCAGTGTGTTGCTGATGGGAGTCATGCTTATGGGGTTAGCTGCTTCAGCAGCCAAGCATACCGCACAGTCTCTGTCTTTCTGCATTCTCTTTGTAACTCAGAGCTCTTCCTTTTTCCTCAGTGATACTCCTCGTGTTTACTTCCCAACCTTAGAGACATATATTTGCACAGATTTTAAACCCAATTCCCTGCCAACCAATGAATACATTGTTACTTGACTACAGGGCAGCTGCTAGCTGTAGTGTTTAAAAATTTAAATCAATGTGATTCATTTGTTAATTAATACAGTTTTGTGGTTTTAGATGTGCTTTTCAGTAGTAGCAGTTGACCTGATGAGGAACAACTAATCTACTGGGTTAACAACATATGCAGAAAATCTTAGTGAGTTTAGCAGATGCATTAGTTGTGTGTTTTATCGAAGCCTCCAGATGGGGAACCAAATGTTCATAAGGCTGATAATACATGAACAAATGTCAACGTGTGCTCCTTTTTTTATTATAAGTTAAGTATACAGATAAAAGTACATTTAATATGTGGAGAATTACCCAGTCCTATAGTTAGCTGCCATATGACTTGTATATTTCAAAAACTCTTTGTTTTAAATAGCAGAAAAATTATTCTGCATTGCAGACCTCCCTGCAGTAAACACCATGAGGTCTCCAACAGCAACAAACTTGCACGTTTGTTGGTTCATCTGTGCTCTGTATAATTTTCCTCATCTCAGTAAAGTTGGCTGTTGTTAACAAATTTCTATACTCACACCTATCTGTTGAAAGCAGGAGATTTTAAGCCCTTGCGATATCTTATTGAGTGACTTTGCTTAATGTGTTTCTCTCGTCAACCAGAAATTATTTCCATCCTCACTTCATTTTATTCTATTGTATTATATTTTGTGTTCTAACCTCACAATATGACATATTTAAAATTTGAATTCTATTTATTATGAAATGATGAAAAATAGACCTTCTTTTCATTAGTCACTTTGTTGTTTACTTGATGTTGTTGCTATCTCTAGGCTCCCCCAGGGTTGAAGAAGAATCTGCTGAGAACATATGAGTCCTGGACTCCTGAGCAGATCAGTAAAGGTTGTCTCCCATCTCCCTTTCTCTCTCCTTTCTCTCATGGTGAAACTATTCAAAACCGTAATGTCTATGACCCTTCTTGTTTTCTATCAGTATGTTACAACAAACAACTAGCTGCCCTGACGTTGTAAAATACTCCGTCTGATAACTTAATAACACAACAGTTGAAGTTGGGTTACATAGAAGTGGACATGGTGTTTGTTTTTGTTGTTTGTTTTTTTTTTCGTGACACGCTGATTGTTTATGTGTAGGAGGCAATCTGGCCAGAGCCCAATCTCTTTTCTGTCTGGCTTGGTTCCATGCTGTCTGTCAAGAGAGGCGGAACTACATCCCCCAGGTAATAAACACAAACCCAGCAGTATATACTGGGATAAAAAAATCAACCCTTTCTTAAAATGTCAAGTATTTTTGGCCTAATAGATTAAGACAGTTATAAATCCTTCAAAATAGTTTTTTTTATTACTTTTATTTGGAACCTCATTAGCAGTTCAGTTAAAAATGGACTTAAAGGACTATTAGAAAAAAAAGTGATAAAATAACCTAATTGCATCAGTCTGTACATATTTAGCAAAAATCTTCTGAAGCACTTTTAGGTTTTATCTCAGCACACTGTCTATTTTGGTGGTCTCTCCACATGCCAAATCCTGATTAGCAATTTTTGGCCACTCTGCCGACAGGGTTTAGTTTGCTAAATGGATCATATCAGTATGAAAAATTCTTTTGTTCACAGACCTCTTCTGAAAAAACTGTAAATTCCTGTAGATTAAGTCATTCTTTTTTAACTAATTTTGATTTAAACTTGGAGCTTGGATGCTGAGGATTAATGTCGCTCTCTGTCATCATCTTTCTGTTCAGGATTTTATCCACACTTACAAAAAGTCTACCTCAAGCTAAAGATGTTTTCTTAGTAAGAAGAGGTTTCCTTCTTTAGCCCTAACGTTTAGTCCACAGAGATGGGAGGTACAGGAGATGTTGCTATCTGAACATAACCAGTACTAAGCAGAAAATCCTGCACCTCCAGTGTTCCCACTGGCCTCTAGCAGCCTCCCATACCTTGTATTTTCACTTTGTTTTAGCTACTGTAGCTGCATCACTTTTGAAAACCATGTTCTTGTTCATTATACGCATATTTATGTTTATGCTAACACAGATCAAAATTTATAGCTATTTAGTCTACAAATATTCACAAAGGCTCCCATAAATAGCAAAAAAAGAAAGAAATGATTCCTCATTATCAGTTTATTTCTCCACATTAACTTCTGTATCTGCATTTAACATTGCCCTGACACTTTGTGTCTCTGTGCATGTCCTTACTGTTTGATGCTCAGGCCTTTAAAGAAAGTTTGACTCATGTACACAACACAACTTAAACAGTACCCACTTTGAGGAGCAGTGTGTTCACCTGAAGCCTCTCATTCATGCTGTTGGTAGACTAATGGATTTACTATGTTCAATGGAATTGAATTAATCCAACTACTCACTGAATTGTCAGACTCCGGAAATGTTACAGTTCAGATTCCATTATCTCTACACTGCCAAGGGATCTTCAGAGGACATGTGTTTTTAAAGGTACAGCTGGTGACTGATGGCTTTTGATGGTCATTCAGTAAGAATAAGCAGTTGTCACATTTATGACAAAAATGGGAAGTATCGGATTCCAATCATCCAGACACCACATCACCATCCCGACCAGGGTTTTGAGAATGGATAAAGTTTAATTATTAGATGTTTATATGCCAAAATGACCCTTGCATATGGTAGAAACAGAATATTTTAGACTTCAAATTTACATGATATATTTCTCCCATTTTTCCAGATTTTTCTCTCTCAATCAGGTGCTTATATAACATTGTCCATATAACATTCTAATTAGCAAAGGGCTTAGATGTTTGCAGATCTTTGCACTGCCAATATTTCATGCTGCACTGAAAAGGTAATGTCAAAATTGCTCCCACCTTAATTTATTTTTGTGCTCACTGAAAATATTAAAATCTGCTGTCTTATCTGTAAAGCATTTTTTTTTAGAGATTTTCCTTCGGAAAAGATAAAACATCTAACTGGGCTTTAATCACCCTGTCCCACAGTATACCCAGAGTAATAGAGGTCCAAACTCAACAAGTTCTCGCAGTAAAGGACACACTGTTTCCAAAGCTTCCTCATGCAGATCTCAGTAGTTGTAAATGCCCAGAGTTAGTTCAAACAACCCTATTACTGACTGTTGTTTTACAGAATGATTTGTTTTCCTAAGCATCCTCTTTCTGAAATTGAAAAGGGTAATGCAAGAATTTACACCAAAACTTACTCTGGATTGCCACAACTGCTGCTTTGTGAAATCTTGCCCTGTTGGCCCAACTCATCAAGCAAACAATCAGCTATCAAGACCCCCTGAAGTTTGCTAATTGCTCTGGAGTTGGGGTTGAAGATGCCATCATACACCTGCTTCATCAAACCCACTGTCATTTAGACAAGGCAAACAGAGCTGTGAGGATCATGCTCTTTGATTTCTCCAGTGCCTTTAACATGATTCTGCCTCACATACCTGGTCAGAAACTCAAAGACAGATGGAGATACTAATAATTGCCTGGATCAAAGAATACCCCCCAAAAAAAGACTTCAGTTAGTGAGACTGAAGGGTCAAGTGTCTAACCAGATGGTCAGTAGTACAGGAGAACCACAGGTGACTACTGCCATCATTCCTTTTTACTCTGCAAACCTCTGGCTTTCAGTACAAGACAGATTCCTGTCATCTGCAGAAATACTCAGACGACTCTGGATGAGGGTACATCCGAACAAACCACTTAAAGGAGCTCAACAAGCTGATAAAGAAGGCTGGCTCTGTTTAAGGAACTCCTCTAGAACCTCTGGAGATGATTTCACAACCAAAAAATTTCACAAAATTAAGAACTTTTGGACGACAGTTAGCATCCTCTTCAGAAGACTATTAATAAACGGTGATTGCTTCTGTCAAAATCTTCTGCATGTCTGGTGCAAGACAGACCGCTACAGAGGCTCCTCTGTGCCTGCAGCTATCAACATGAACAACAACTAATTGAAAAATAACCCTTGTCACTATCCCTTTAGGCTTAATATAGTATTTTTGAAATCAATTAAGTGTACACTGCACAGTCTTTAAAAATAAACATTAAACAAGAAAATTAACATGAACGTGTTTGTATTCAGGAAAACTACTTAGCATATTGATGACTTTTTATACTTCTTCCTACCACAGTAAGTGGACTTTTGAAACTCAATCTAATTAGTGCATTTCAACTTTTACCTAGTTCTGTCTGAAATAATAAATACACCTTTGTTTTTTTCTATCATGTTTGTTCAGAATGACACTCTAATTACTGAAACTCACTTTCTCCCTTTTTGACTTAGCTTACCTTCTATTTTATATTATCTATATTCCTCAAAATATATCTTATCCATTTGTAGTCTTAAAGAGAACACAGAGGCAGATTTTTGGATCTTGTCTTTGGCATACCTTTTCTTTGTAATAAGTTTTAGAAAAGTCAAACTGACTGTTCTATAAACAAGCATACCTCTGCTATTCAAAAAAAGATGCAGCTAGTGAAATATTAATACAGCTAATGCTTAAAAGGCATTTTATTTCAAGTACAATTCTGAAATTTGATTATGAACAGCCTTAATGCCTTGGAAAAATGCAAATTGAAGCACAAATTTACTCTAAAACAGAGTATACTTCATCATTTAAAGAATTATTAAACAGGCCCTCAGGGTTTTCCCTTATGCCTTTTCCAACTACAGCATCAGCAGATTACAACCGCTGATTGAACAGCAGTGAAGTGCAACAAACACATAAACGTAACCCGAAACCGCCCTTCACACTCAATTACATTTTAACATCTCTGTGTTTTTTCTTTGAAGTGGTCAATCCTGAGACACTGCATGTTTGTCTAAGCGTGTTCTTATGTGTGTTAATCTGAGCCGTCTGATTTCTTAGTCGTCTTTGATTGTTCAACCCTAAAACTAACCTTTTACCCTTTTACGCTTCAGAACATATAGCATGTTTCGATACTTATATGGACTAGCATTTTTGTAAAAACAGTCTTAGTCCAATATTATAGCATGAAATACTGACTTTGTGTGCATCAAAGCTCTGACAAAAACATAAAGAAACAAGGAGTGAAAATACTCCAGAATTTCATGCAATTGTGTCTATTTTGTGTTTTCTGCATCATCTCTTAATCCTCCTCGTTTCTCCACACACAAGAACACTTACACCTAAAGGCAAAGTACAGAGTCCATTAACCTAACACTCATGATTTTGACCGTAGGTGGAATCCAGAGCACCTGTAGAGAACCCACAAATACACCATGGAATATACAAACTTCATGCTAAAGGACCCCAAGCTGAGATCGATACCAACTATTGTTATTATTATTTATTCCTATTATTATATCTTAGTCTCTCGAGCAGCACAAATTTTTTTTCTTCTTTAAAGCTTCTAACATGTCCAAACCATGTCATAAATGTTTTTGCTTTCTGTAGTTTGCTTTTTTCTTATTCCAATATTTGTTCAACATACTGATCTGCATTTAGCTTAGATGTATGCATCAAAGTTAAAATATTTTGGAAGTGTCTCTGGAAGCATTAATGTCATTATTACAAAATTAGGAAAAAAATAGATTATTTTATAATGTGTGGAAGAAAATATGGGTTAATAATACTTATATAATTTCAGCCTTAGGTTTTTGAAGATGAAACATGTCTCTACATTGGATGTAATTTAAAATGTGATTCTTTATAGGGCTGGACAAAGTTCTACGAGTTTTCCTTATCTGACCTCCGTGCTGGCTTTGAGATCATCGACAGACTCTTTGACGGTAGGAAGGCTTGGGACTGCTCACCCTGGAGAGTAGTGTTAATTTTACCAGCCATTTTTAAATTTAGTTTCAGTTTTAGTCCAGTTTCAACATCGCTTGTTAGTTTTTATCACATTTAGTCAACATCATCTC